AAAAAGAAGAAGAAGAAGAAGAAGAAGAAGAAGAACAACAACAACAACAACAACAACAACAACTACAACTACAACAACAACAACAACATTGCTTTTTATAGGTGAAAAAGTCAAGACTCCAAAAAGTTGCTTTATTTGCCCCAGGTCACACGGCTGGTCTGTGGGCATCCTTATTGTGTTGCCCATATTGCTTTCCTTATATTCTATAGTAATTACATATTCTTAATATGGTCTGTTCCGAAACAATGATTTATATTACAAAAGAAGTTTTTAAGTTTTACTCTAGAAAGTTCAGACATTTTCAAGAGTTTTACAAACTCTAATATTTTTCACATGCATGCACCAAAAACAAAGCAGTTTTGAGGGATCCTTGGGTGAAATTTATCTGCTTTGCAAGAAAGATTTTATTAAGCGGGAAAAAAGTCAACTGCTTTTTAAAGAAAAAATTCAAACCACTATTCGGAAATGTGCCTTGGCTGAAAAACAGGTGGGAAAACCTATTAGCAGAACAGGAAACAGAATTAGACATGGGGGAGTAGAGCAGAGAGGGCAGGAAGAAGACACTTGTCACAGAGACTCCAAACTGGATAGTCAGGAACTCAGAGGCTGAGGCGCAGGGCATAGGGCAACAAGATAGGCTCAGAAGATCAGAGAAAATTTAAATGCTTCTGGAACCCTTGTAGCTTAAAAGTTGAATGGGTTCCCTGAGGCACCTGAGGTTAGCTCCACTCCGCCTGAGCTACCAGTTGTGAAGCTTCAAGTTGGGGCATGTAAAGCACTGAGGAAAGACAGGGACTCTGACCAGATCACCCAAAGCAACTATGGCCGTCTCTGCAGTGACAGATACAATAGCCAGACCCCCTCACACTCTCCTCCACCTGCTGCTGCTGGACCTTCAAGGTTCCTTGACATCCATCAGGGAGGTTTCTGAGCAGCAGGAAGGGCAGGCAGAGGAGCTTCATCTAGAGGCTGGATTCCCTGAACTCAACCCTGAGCTGACGCAGTGACATACTCTTCAAATTTCTTCTGCAGCTGTGCAGTGTTGCTCTCATTTCTGGGTTTTGAAAAGTTTCATGATAAATTCAATGTAAAGTTTCCACTTATGATACATTTTAAGTCATGTAGAGAAGCTGCAATTTAAAGACTCTTTCAATAGGCAACCCCCAAATAAATTCCAGGCAGCCAGTCATTTATAATGAATTCTCTCTGATAACAAAACCAGACAAAGACAACACAAGAAAAGAAAACTGTAGACCAATATCCATGATGAACAGATATTCAAAATTCTCAAATAAAGTACAATCAAACCAAATTCAACCGCATATTAAAAAGATCATACATCATGACCAAGTGGGATTTATTCTTGGGATGCAAGGATGGTAGGCAAAACAATCAATGTGATAAAATACACTAATGAAATAAAAGAAAACCACATGATCATCTCAATAGACACAGAAAAAATGCATTTAACAGAGTTCAACATCCATTTATGATTAAAACTCTCAATGAAGTAAGTATAAAGGGAACTTACTTTAACACAGTAAAGGTCATATATGAAAAGCCCACAGCCTACTTAATCAATGGAGAAAAACTGAAAGCTTTCCCTCTAAGATCTGGTACAAGGCAAAAATGCTCACTCTTGCCTTTTTTTTTTTTCAACATAGTTATGGAAGTTCTACCCAGAGCAATTCGACAAGAAAAAGAAATAAAGGCATGTAAGTAAAAAAAGAAGTAAAATTATTTCTATAAAATTTAAAATATAAATTTAACCAAAGAGGTAAAAGACTTATACACTGAAAATTATAAAACATGATCACATATGTATAAAACCCTAAGGACTCAGAAAAAAATTAGAACTAATCAAATTTAGCAAAGTTTCAGGATATAAAATCAACATACAAAAATCAATCACCATTCTATACATAAACAGCAAACTATTTAAAAAGTTCAGAAAACAATCACATTCACAATAGCAATAAAACGTATAAAATGCTTAGAGATAAATTTAACCGAAGAACTAGTAACATTAAAATGTCCACACAACCCAAAGTGATCTACAGATTCCATGCCATCTCTTTCAAAATTCCAATGAAATTTTTTACAGAAATAGAACAAACCAATCATGAAATTCATATGGAACCACAAAAGACCTTGAATAGCCAAAGTAGTATTGAACAAGAACAATACTTGCAAATACTTGCAAACCATATATATGATAAGAGGTTAATATCCAAAATATATAAAAATCTCAGAAAATTCAATAACAAAAAAATGATTAAAAATCATCAAAGGACCTGAGTAGATATTTTCCAAAGAAGAAATACAAATGGTCAATAGGTATATGAAAAGGTGCTCATCTTTACTAATCACCGTGGAAATGAAAATCAAAACCACAACATGATATCACCTCACACCTGTTAGAATGGTTATTATAAAAAGACAGAAGGTAATAAATGTTTGATGATAATGTGGAGAAAAGGGAACTTTTATACGCTGTTGGTGGAAATGTAAATTGGAACAGCTGTTAGGGAAAACAGTGTGGAGAGTCCTCAAAATATTAAAAATAGAATTACCATATAATCCAGCAATATCACTTCTGGGTATATAGTCAAAGGAAATGAAATCTGGATCTAGAAGAGATATCTGCACTTTCATGCTCATTTCAGCATTATTCACATAGCTAATATATAAATACAACTTAAATGTCCATGGAATAATGAATGAATAAAGAAAATATGGTGTATATACACAATGGAATATTACTTGGCCTCTAAAAAAAAAGAAGAAATCCTGCCATTTGTGATAAGAATGAATAGAAGGGATGAAGAAGCAGGAGAGGAAACTGATTAGGTAAACAGGAGTCAGATCGTAAAAAGCCTTGCTCATCATATTAGAAAGATTGGACATCATACAGAGGCAACAGGCGACTTTAAGCATTTCAGGACAGATAGATGAACTAGAAGAGACAAAATGGAGGCAGGGAGAGGAGTTAAGGGACCACTGAATTAATCCACGTTAGGAATGATGGCAGTCTGCATTAACTACTACAGTGGACAAAAGGGACAGGAAGCAAAATAACAGGTCTTGTTATCTGATCATAAGTAGTAAAGGAGGAAGAGAATGAGTTCTGGGTGACTGAAAATTCTTAGCTAGAGGATGGGTGACTAATAATACCATTCACCAAGTATTTGGGAGGAAAAGCAGCTAAGGCTCTTATGGGATGTCCAGCTGGAGGTGTCCGGTGACCACGTGGACAGACGTGTAGAACTAAGATAAGTGGACAGGGGTGGAAGTATACCCATATGAGCTACTTATTTTGGTTGATATTTAAGGAATTATGTGAGTGAAATAACCCCTGTTGAGGATGTCCAGAAGTGTGTTATGAGGACATACTACATTTGAGGGGAGTGTGCGCAGATCATGAGACACAGTAGACATTTGCTTTAGTCAGGGCAGTTTCAGAAGAGTGGGGGGTTGGGAAGTGCACACTTTAAATTGTGTGAGTTTGAGAAAGGAAGGTCAGGGAGGAAGTAGACCTGGCAAATGTTCAATACTTTTGAGGGGCTTGAAAGTGAATGAACCTGAGAGGTGGGCAGTAGCCAGGCAAGAATGTAGTGTGGAAAGAATATTATCACTCTGTTCTCACTCCACTTTCATGAATAAAAGCCTATATGTGATCATAGCCATTGTAAACTGAGCTCTTACTTCATTGTAAGCCTAATGTCATATTTTACCCTCTTGATCTCAGTTAACCCACACAATGTTGTCAGAAAAATATCATTGTCCCCATTTTAGTATTGAGGACACTGTATCTCATTGAGGTCACACAGTTAATAAGTCATTGAGATACAAGAGGAACGAGGTTCTCTCTCCCCAGAGTCCATGATCTTAAACATTATACTTACTGCCTCTCAGTGCTATATACAGAAAGAGGCAGTCTTTCCTCTCCCTGTATCCTGTAGACTTGGCTTTATAATCTCTCTCATATCCTTAATTCTAGTCTATGCCCTCATCACTTCTTGCCTGTTGTCATAAAAATACCCAATTCTTTCCTCACACCTCCTCCAGAACAACCTTCCTAATGCAAAGATCAGATGAAATCACTCACCGGTTTATAATAATCTGTCCCCTATAGGAAAAATCCCCAAACTCATTAGCTCTGCACAGACAGCTAGCAGGCATTACTGCCTGCCTGTCTCATGTCCTGTCACCTCAGCCACCCACTTTTCCCTTTCCTGGTGCTCCTACTGTTCTCTGGGCACTTCTGCCAGAGTGCTCTTTCCCATCTGCTCCCTTGGTAAGATTCTGTTCCTCTTTAGACCCCAAAGGGAATGTCAGCTCTCTCGGAAGCCCTCCTCTCTTCCTCTGCCTCCAACTCTCAGCAAATTTAAGACACTCTCCCTGTGCTCCTGCACCCCTGCTTCTGTCCTCTGAGAACCCACCTTTCACCTTGTCCATGTCATGTTCACTTGCTGCCCTGCTTCTGTCCTCTGAGAACCCACCTTTCACCTCTTCCATGTCATGTTCACCTGCTGGTTTTCCCCTTAGACTTTAAGGTTCTTACTGAGACAACAAATGCAGTACATTTAGCAATTTTCCCCTTAGACTTTAAGGTTCTCTGAGGCAGGACTCTTTATTATTAATGCTGGAAAGAACTTCAGAGATTATTTAGTTAAATCTTCCATTCATTGGGTAAGAAGACTTTGAGCCAGGGAGGTTCTATGATTTAAACAAGATCACATGACTGAGGATAAGAAAAATGCATATTTTATAATTTAACAAGTACAGGGACAAAATACCTTTACATCAACAGTATTAAATCATATTTCATTGATTTGTTGATTTACTGAGAATGGCAAAGAGACTGGAGGTGAGGCGAAGGCATAGAGATAGAGAAAATACTGAGAACGTGGTGAACACAAAGTTTTTATTTTGGCCATGCTCTAGGTCCTGCATGAGCACTCCTGAACAGAGGGCAGAGTGACCCCCCTGACTTCTATAACTGGACACTCTGCTGGAAAGTAAATGGGGACTCAGGATAAAAGAGGCAAAAAACAGGAAATACAGGGCCCTGGATGCAGCCACTCAACTTCACAGTGAAGGCCCTACACGGGGAAATGGGTAGAGTGCCTTGTGGGCGCTGGGGCCTCTCCCAGCTCAGCCCTGTCCTGGTCTTTCACTCTCCACAGATTTTTATGTGTACTAGAGGAGGAGTGACTGCTATGAGTTAGATAGGACAAGTCGTGTTGCAATACATTTACAACAGAGAAGTGTACATCCAGTTTGACTGCGTCATGGGGGTGTTTGTGGCTGTGACTGAGCTCAGGCGCATAACTGCCAAGAACTGGAACATCCAAAGGGAGTTTCTGGAGCTGAGAAAGAGCGCCGTAGATACGGTGTGCAGACACAACTATGAGTTGGACAAGGGTTTCGCCCTAAAGTGCAGAGGTGAGTAGGTAGGTAGGAACGAGAAGATCCTGGAAGGCAAGTGGTGGGGGTGAGTGCCTGGGCAGCAGAGGAGGAGAGAGGTCTCTTTTCTGTCTCCTAGCCCCAGTGTGTCCCAGGCTGGGTGGCCTGAACCCAAAGGGCTTCATGGTAATGAGACCAGACCACAAGGGAAAAGGCCAGACTCTCTGGTAAGCCAAAAAAGCTAAGAACACTGGATTTGTGGACCTT